ATCTCCAAACCCAACATGATTTCAATGGTGAAGATTTTATGTTTTTATGAATTTTATTTGATTTATTGGAATTATTTTAATGAAAACTCATTTTTAGCCTTTAAAAAATGCATCTTTCTATACCTCTAAAAAAATCGTCAAAACCCTTCAATTTTAATTTTAATCAAAAAGCTTGCAAGAAAGGTAACATTTCAAAACCAAAACTCAAATCCGGCTAAATAAATAGGAAGATTATGATTAAGGCATCATCCCAAAACCAAGATTCAAATCTAGCATACACTTTAACGAGAGGCGGCAAGGAAAAATAAAGTAAGCCTCAAAAAATGTAATTTTCAACATTTAAAACGACCTCCAATATATATTTCAATAAGGGACAACAAGGGAAGTAAATAAAAGCCCCAAAATGTAATTTCTAGCATTTAAAATGATTCTCCAGCATGTATTTCAACTAGGGGCAGCAAGAGGTGCAAGATAAAGGCCCCAAAAATATGATTTCCAATATTTAAAACAGCCACTAACATGTATTTCAATAAGGGGCAGCAAAGGAAATACATAAAAGCTCCCAAAGATGTAATTTCCAACATTCCAACACATCCTTTCAACATGTATTTCAACAAGGGGCAGCAAGAGGTGCAAGATAAAGCCCCAAAAATGTAATTTTCAGCATTCAAAACAACCACTAATATGTATTTCAATAAGGGGCAGCAAGAGGTACAAGATAAATGCCCCAAAAATATGATTTCCAACATTTAAAACAACCTCTAACATGTATTTCAACAAGAGGCAGCAAAGGAAATACATGAAAGCTCCCAAAGATGTAATTTCCAGCATTCCAACACATCCTTCCAACATGTATTTCAACAAGAGGCAGTAAAGGAAATAGATAAAGCCCCAAAAAATGTAATTTTCAGCATTCCAAACATCCTTCCAACATGTATTTCAACAAGAGGCAGTAAAGGAAATAGATAAAGCCCCAAAAAATGTAATTTCAGCATTCAAAACATCCTTCCAACATGTATTTCAATTAGGGGCAGCATGAGGAAATAGATAAAGCCAAAAAAAAAAAGTAATTTCCAGCATTCCAACACATCCTTCCAACATGTATTTCAACTAGGGGCAGCAAGAGGAAATAGATAAAGCCCCAAAAAAATGTAATTTCAGCATTCATGATATATGAAATAATATAAAATAGGGTAGGATAGAAGAATACCTCTTCTCCTTTTTGTAACTTAAAGCAAAAGAGGAGTAAAGCTTCCTTTCCAACAGAGAAAACAGCGAAGAGATTATCCTAATCGAATGGATAATAGAGGTAGAAAAGCATCCAAATCTCCCTAAAATCCCTCAAAAACTTCTTTCAAAATTTTTTTAACAAACCCTAAGCCACACAAGATCAAAAGAACAAGTAATAATGGATCTTGAAGAGATTTTGACAGCACCTCCCTACTTCCAAAATTTCGGCCAGCACCAGAAAAATTCCCAAAGTGGTATTTTAAAGCAAAGAAAAGAGGGAGGAGAAGCCACCTACCAACCACCCATTCCAGCAAATCGCGTGAGAGGAGAGGAGAAAAATTTAAAGCAAGAAGAAATGCGACCTGGGGCAGAGAAAGGGTCGGCCAGGTGGAAACTCGTGGTTGGGGGAACATTCGATCGAGAGGAACTCGAAGAGACGAGCCGCGCGCGCAACCAGCGGCGGAATGCCGCGTGTGAGGAGGGAGATGGAAAAAGAAATGCCGCGTAGGGGATGCCTTTTAATCGGGTTTATGCAAGCCAGGGAAAGCCTAAATAGAGTTAGGTTAAATATGATTTAAGAAAATATTTAAGATTTTAAAAAAAAAATAAAATTGTAATTCGTGTTTCACTCATGCATCAAAACACAACAAAATTGATGTCCTTTTAAGGTAATTTTGATATTCCGGACGCATTGGTGAGGTTCATTTCGCCGTCGGAAGTCGTTTTGACGAATTCATCGATTTGCGCGCCAAAATTTTTGTGTAATTTTTTTGTGTCGAAAGTATAGCAATATGGGTGTCCTTTCCTACCAAAATGGGTATCCCGGACGCGTTGGTGCAGTCCAATTTGTCGTCGGAGGTCATCCGGAGAAGTTCGCGTTTTCACCCGTCCTTTGGGCTTAATTGAAATCCAATTTCGCGCAATTCCGTGAATTTTGTACATTTTGTGTGTGTACGTGACGAAAAAGGTCGTGACGATGTTTTCCTGAGGCTTGAAGTCCTATTTGGAACATCTTCCTTGAATCTTCGCAAAATAGCCCATAACCGCTCGTTCATAAAACGATGGTCTTGTGCCAAAGATGCTAGACATCAAAAGAAAATAGGAATTGGCTGGAATTTCTAGAAGGGTGAGTCTCAATTCTAGTTTTCTAAGATGGTCCATAGGAATTTATAGAGCTAGAACCTAAGCTCTAAGGAGGAGAAGAAAAGACCTCACAAAAATGAGGTCAACAACATACCACACAAAACCCTATGTATTTACATACCTCTCACCTATAGTTTCATATTCACATACATAAAACTTTAGTTTTAAAACTGTGCATGAAAATGTATATTTCACTTTTAGAAAGTAGTAATAGTGCTATTTTTAGGTGATATTAAAGATTTGAGTATTATGTGTGTAAATATGAAAATTTAGGCGTGAGATATATAAATACATTAAAATTGTGTGTAAAGTATGTAAATGCCCCAAAAAATTAATTGGATCAACTTTCTACGAGGAGAAATATCTGGAGTATTTTCTTCTACAATATTGCTTAATTTGGCTTAATTTATGATTAACATACTTTTCTCAATATCACTTAACTGCAACCAAACCTTCCTCAGCTTTGCCTGTTGCACTGCTATGGCTTAATTTGGTGGTTTTGTTTATACACATATGTATTGTTATTATGTTTAATTATTTTTGGATTCTCTCATTTACTTGTTGTCGTGGTTCAAGGTTCGTTTTGTTATTGGGGGAGATGGTTTAAAACGTGTACGATTGGAAGAGATGAGGGAGAAATATTTCCTTCAGGACAAGGTTGAAATGCTTGGAGCTGTTCCACATGCTCAAGTGAGATCTGTACTAGTATCTGGTCATATTTTCCTCAACAGGTGTTTATTTTCCCAGGATTGTTTATTTCCAAAGAAGCAGAAGATATAGGAAAATCTACATACATACCACTCAATTCTTATGTATTTACATATCTAACACCTATACTTCAAATTTTACGTGCATGCCAACTTACCTATGTATGAAGAGGTGTATTTTTTAAAAGTTAAATTGGTGGTATTTTTGATGTGATATGCAAGATTTGGGCACTATAAAAGTAAATATTAAAGTTTAGGTGTTAGTTATGTAAATACATGAAAAATAGATGGTATGTATGCAAATGCCCCTATGAAGAAATCTTTTAAATTTCTTGGCTACATAACCTAATTGCAATCTTTGTCTAAAGCACAAATACTGGATCAGTCCCATTTTGTGGTTCATTTTCCTTTTTCACATGCTAGTTTTTAATTTACTTTATTTTATGCTTTAAATTTGAGTGTCTGTGTCATTCGTTACAACTTGCAAATTTTATTCAGCTAGCCATGGCTTGAGGTTTCTGCATTTTAGCTCTGTTCTTATGAGCCCTTGGTTCTAATAAATATATGGCTATTGCACTATCAGGTGCAGCTCGCCCCTTTCTTATAGTCTCTTAGCTCCAATACAAATATGATCATATTCAATTAACTACATTTTGAATAACTTTTTTTTTTTTAATCTAAATCTTTGTATGGTATCTACCAGCTAGAGGAATTATGCTGTTTAACCCAGGCACCGTATTAATTAGTTTAAGAATTGCGAGATGCAATGATATTTTATTGGTTGATTTGCATATTACACCTAAATCTTTATATTTACTTATATAACACCCTTGTTTCTAAATCATATTAAAATGCCTCAAATATTAACTATTCTAGAGTGAAATATGTTATTTTTATTTATTTGTTGTTATGTAATTTTGACATAGGTTAATTTAGACATGTAGATAAATACCCCGATTTTGTCAAGTTTAAGATGGAATGCCTTCTGTGTTAAAGTTTGACTTTAATTAACGTTTTAAGCTTCATCCCAGTTTAATTGGTAATTTTGATAGCTTGATAGCTTGCATGTGTTTACATTTTGATAATGCTCTTCTCCATTTATCACACTCGGGAAATTATGATGCTTTAATGCCGAAACAGTGAAACTCTTTCAGAATTCATTGTAAATATAGAAATGACGAGCAATACTTGTTTAGGAGATTCACACGCACACACACACGCACACGCACACGCACACGCACACGCACACACAAATCTTTGATATTTTTTTATATAACACTTTTATGTCACAATCATATTAAATTATATGCATGAAATGATGTGTTTCACTTTAAGAACTTACTATTGGTGGTATTTTAGATGTGATGTTAATGATTTATGAGTGTTATATAAGTAAATAATGTAGTTTTTAGATATATAATTTATTAAGAACTGTGTGTATGTAAATCCTTTTATTTTGCTGCAAGGCTGGGCATTGCCCCTAAAATGGTAAGTTAGTACATTAAATTCAAAAAAAGTAATGTTTTTATTATATTACATTTCTTTTTTTTGAAAGATTCATCTCTATCACTTCCTTTTCCCTAATGTATTGAACTAATGATCTTTTGAGATCAAATTTTTCCACCCACTTCCCGCTCGAACATCGATCAAATTATCAAATTGTTTCGGTCATCTTGACATGGCGAGGCTATTAGATTAACTGGTTGCTATGTTCTAATTTTTTATGGGCGGCTTCAAAAGTTGAAGCTATTAGATTTTCCGGCTGTTTTGTCCAAATTTTTTATGGGCGGTGTATGTAATTTGAGTTTAAATTGTTATTAGAAAGTTTTACATACTTAACGCTCAATTCTTATGCCCTTACATGTCTGACACCTCAACTTCATCTTTTACACATATGCCACCTTATTTATGCATGAAAAATGTGTATTTCACTTTTTAGAATTTAAAATGGTGATATTTTTTATTTGCTATGAAAATATAATGTAAAAATCAAAATTTTGTTGTTAGATATATAAATACATAAGAATTGGGTGGTATGTATGTATATGCCCCGTCTTTTTAATGAAATATGACGTGAAAATTTGAGTATTTTTTCCTCCCAGTAGGCTAGCTTAGCCAACTAGATTCTTAACATGTTACTTTCTCTCCGAATAAATAGGGCAGGCATCTTATTCTCATTTAAAAATTTTCTTCTGATTATTTTCAAGTATCTGTTTAAAAATATTTGTTTAACGTTAACAAATTTCAAACTCTTAAGGCTATCTTATTATTGCAGTTCTCTCACCGAAGCTTTTTGTATAGCTATTCTGGAAGCTGCAAGTTGTGGATTACTTACTGTCAGCACAAGAGTTGGTGGAGTCCCTGAGGCATGGCGTTTAAGTTTCCTTATTTCTTTGTTTAGGAAGATTTACAAACATACCACTCAATTCTTATGTATTACTTATCGAAAACGTAAATTTTAAATTTTACTTATATGCCGCCTAACTTGTGCATCAACAGGTGTATTTCACTTTTTAGTTTTTAAAATAGTGGTGCTTTTGATTTGATATGAAAGATTTAGGTGGTATAAATGTTAAAAATAAATTTGATTATTGCTGAAACTTTTTTTTCAGGTTTTGCCGGATGATATGATTGTGCTTGCAGAACCTACACCCGTGGATATGGTCCACGCTATCGAAAAATCGATTGAAATGCTACCGAATATTAATCCGGTTGCCATGCATGAAAGGGTGGATCTTCAAAACTAATTTGCTTTTATTTTCTTGGGATAATTTTTGTGTGATTTAGTATTCTGAATAGCTGTCCATTTCTGAGTATCTTTTCTAGAGATTTTGTTCCACAATTTTATATGTTGAAATCTCACATTAATTTATTTTTTCTTATTGCATGAATGTTCTTAGTTGAAAAAGTTGTATAGCTGGCATGATGTGGCTAAAAGAACTGAAGTTGTATATGATCGTGCATTGCTGTGCTCTGATGAGACTCTCTTGCAACGTCTTCCTCGGTATATTTTCTCTAATATTTTTTCTCTTGCTTTAAGTTTCTCATTGTGATTGCAATTTGCCCTTCATATATCACGAATCTGATATGCCTCAGAATCAAAATCAACGAACAAACCACAATAAAACGACAATAGATAGGCAAAAGTAACACAAATAAGGGCTGCCTTACAAAAATCAAAGGAAAACAAGCAAGATACAAGACTGATCTATTATTCAAGAGGTAGATCGTCTCTCCCACACCCTAGACGTCGCTAGGAACACCACAAGAAGAAAGAAAATAACAGCTACAACAAAACATACATAAAAAAGACAAACCCTAGGTTACTCTCTTTAACAGAATTCTCCCACAGCCATTCAAAACTTTCCTTCAAACTTTCGCTCCAAACTCCTCTAATTTTCCCTTCTTAAGTATGTGATTAAGGCCCTCGTGGACCCCTCCTGCTCACTACCTTCTTCACCCACTGCAAATGGCCACTCCCTTCCGTTTTTAGCCACTACAGATTGTCGCTCGACCTTTTCTCATGACATAGACTGGTTGGGCGGGCTAGTTGGGGGGCATTCGACTAGTGCATGATGAACCAGTCTTGTTACACTCGGGGTGTGGGTGTAACAATTCTCCCCTCCTAAAGAAGTACCTTGTTCTCAAGGTAGAATGATGAAAATTGCTTGTGCATCACTTCGTAAAGCTCCCATGTTGCTTCATATTCTGACAGTCTTTTCCACTTAACCAATATCTTTTCTACTTCCCTTATTTGTTGGCGCACTCCTTCGACCTCTAACGGCTCCAGAATCACCTCCAAGTCCTCAATCAGCGTTGGCGGTAGTGCAGATGAGTGTGTATGGTTTCCAATTGAACGTCTCAACTGTGATACACGAAAGATCGGGTGTAGTGTGGACGATGGTGATAATCTCAAACAACAAGCCATTGCCCCAATGCGTTCCATCACCTCATATGGTCCAAAGTGTCGTGGTGACAGCTTCCTGGCCAACTTCTTCTGTCGCTAAGGTCTTAGCTTCAACAGACAATGTCTCCTAGTTAAAACTACACCTCTCTTGTGGTCATCCACTTTCCTCTTCATGATTTGTTGAGCTCTCAGTAAATGCCTTTTTAGCTCTGCTAGTATTCTGTCCCTCTCGTCCAAGTACCGATCGACTTTGGATACTAGTGTAGCACTATGCCATAATGTATCAAGTGAGGTGGATCCAGTCCAAGTAATATCTTGAAAGGGGTGGTCTATGTCGTGATGTGATACAAAGTATTATACTAATATTTGACCTATACAAACCACTTGACCCATTGTTTTGGCGTATTGGATACAAAACAACGCAGCTACGTCTCTGCACTCCTGTTGTCCACCTCCGTCTGCCCATCATTCTGAGAATGATATGCGGTGCTCTTCTGAAGAAATGACCCTTGCAACCTGACTGGTTCTTTCCAGAAGTGGTTGAGGAAAACCTTGTCCTTATTCAATATTATTTATTCCGACACTCCGTGCAAATGAACCACCTCCTGGATAAACATTGCCGCCATCGAGATCGCAATGTAGGGATGTCGTAAAGGAATGAAATATCCACTGCTCCAAAAGATACTTTAAACTCCTTAGATCTGTTCTGACCATAATTGTCGTCCCAACATGTCGGACCGCCACTTTTGAATGGCCAAGAACATGACCATCAATTTCCGTTTATATACTAACTTTAGCCTCGTCTTGGCCATGAGGACCTGGTTGAAGTAGACAATCGATCGTTGATCCTGCATGAGCATTGCTGCCAATCTGTACCCAGATACATCCGTCTCCACCACAAATGGTTTACTGAAATTTGAAAATACTAATACTGGTACGCTAGTCATAACCCTTTTCAGATGTTTAAAGGTCTGTGTTGTTGTTTCCTACCATTTGAAATATTTTTTCTTCAACTACTTTGTTAGTGGTCATGCTATTGTGCCATATCCTTTCACGAACTTCTGGTAGTAGCCGGTGTGACCCAGGAATTCTCTCAACTCCTTCAAACTCCATGGTACAGACATCAATCATAGCCTCGATCTTGGACTGATCCACTGCTACCCCGTTCTGGTAACAAGTGTCATAAATTCTCCACCCGCGACTGTGCAAAAGAAAATTTCTTCAAGTTGGTATACAACTTGTGTTCCCTCGACGTCTCTAGGGCTGTCTTTAGGTGCGTCACATGTTGTTTCCATACCACTGTAGATCAAAATGTCATCAAAGAAGACCGGGATAAATTTTCGGAGGTAAGGTTGGAAAATCCTATTCATGAGGGGCTAAAATATCGCCGACACATTGGTGAGACCAAACGACATCACTAAGAACTCATAATATCCTTCATGTGTCCTGAACACTGTCTTGTGTACATCAACTGTATTCATCCTGACCTGGTGGTATTGGTATCCCAATTTAAGAATAAATTTTTAGAAAATGACTACTCCATAAAGGTCATTCAGTAACTCATTAGTATTTTCTGAGTCGTTTGCAAGGAATTACAAAAGAAATTTATTCAACAAAAATGTGAGTTAGGAAAGATTGGTCGACGAAATATGAACTAGAGACTTAATCTTTATATACCCCAAAACAATACATTTTTTTACCACGAGATTGATCAACCGGAGGAATAGGGAACTTGTCCAACATCGTCTTATTGTTCAAAACTCGGATGTCCACGCAAAATCTCCAACTATCATTTTTTTTCTTTACCAACAGGACGTGATTGAAGAAAGGGCTCAAACTAGGCCTGATGATCTCGACCTCGAGCATCTCATGGATCTGTTTCTTTATCTCATTCTTCTGAATCTGGGTATCTGTATAGTTTGACTCTGATGGGGAAAACAACCTCATTCAATGTAATAGCGTGTCTGTGCTCCCTCAGGGGAGGTAACCCGCTTAGCTGTTGGAAGACATCCATGAACTGCTGTAGAAGCTGCTGGACTCCTTTAGAAAACTCTGTTAACTCTGAATCTCGAATCTTCTCAATGCTTTTCAACTCTACCAAGTAGCCCAGTCCTGCTTCCCGTATCGACTTGACAAATTTTTTGAGCAACACCATAGTTTTGCATAAACTAGCATCTCTTCTCGGCATCACCTTCCTACCCTCCACTTGGAACTCCATCGTCAGGACTTCCAATCCACCTTCATCTCCCCTAGTGTTCGCAACCACTTCATTCTCAAAATCACATATGTGCTGCCTAAATCTAAGAGACAAAGTCCTCCACCACCTATAGGCTATGAAGTGTAAGAACTAACCCTTTGCAAATTACCTGAATTTTCTCTACCTTCCTAGTCACCATTATGACACTGAAGCTTACTATAGTCATCAGCTCCAACCCTAGTTTCTCCACAATCTGTTTTGAGATGAAGGTATTTGTGGCCTTGCCATCTACCAACACCACAATTTGTTGTTCCCTGATTCACCATCTCACCTTCATGGTGTGATTCAGAATAAATCTCACTACGGAATTGAGAGACGCCTCCGTCACATCCAAATACATATGCTCATCCTCCACAGGTTCCTCTCCTGATTCCTCATTTTCTGTTTCCTCTTGCCGAACTAAAAAAATCTGAATGGCACGATCCTTGCAATGGTGTCCTGAGGCGTATTTCTTATCACAATGGTAACACAATCCTTTTGCTATTTTATTATGCATTTTTGCATCTGTGAGACGCTTGAAACTACCATCAAGACTGGGTCTTGCATTCTTCTCCTCCGGCGGCTCTTTCTGAGATGACATCGTCTGGGTCATCGGTGTCGTAGCTGTCAAAGTGCCCTTGTAGAATCCTCCAGTATTGCTGCATTTACTGATCTTCTTCACTTGTTTCTTATCCTCCATTATCTGGGCGAGCTCCATCATTTCTCTTAATCCTCGCGGTCCCAAGGGGCAGATGACTGCTCGTATGTCGAGCTTTAGGCTTTTCAAGAAATTCCCTTCCAGTCCTGCTGCAGAAATCTCCCTCAACTTCCCTGACAAGAGCTCGAACTTCTCCTAGTATTTCATTACCGTCCCTCATGAGTCAAAGCATAGAATGTTGGTGTAGGTCTCCTTCCCGAATGACTTGAAAATTCTCCAACAAGTAATCCTTAAATTCCTCCCATGGGTGCATCAGATATGTTGCCTCCATCCACTGGAACCATGCTAGAGTTTTTCTCGAGCATAATCCCGCTGCCATGAACTTCTCTTCCTCAGTTAACGCATTGATTGCAAAGTAGTGCTTCACTCGATAGACTCATCCATGTGCATCATTCCCTTTAAAGATTAAGATTGACATCTTCAATTTTCTGACTCTTGCATCTCCACCCCAAACTTTTCTTCCTCCAACATTTCCTCCCATATATCTAGGATGAAACTCCCTCTTTTGATCATAAGCATATCCCACTCCCGATTCCATTCTTCCTCCATCGTCCTTTTCTATGTCCCTTACTCATTCCTTCAATTTTCGACCTATCCCCCTCAATCGGAAGTCTCCACTCCTCTCGGAGTCCTAGGGGGACGCTCATGTTAGTAGATTATGTCTTTCTAGTTGTCTTCTCGTTCGATCTCATTCCCTTTTGACTTGACCAAGGATTCCTCGATCAACCCTTGGTGTTAGGGTTTGCGACTGAAGCGATCAGGACGATCTTAGAATGCTTTTCCATGAACTTTTTCATCATGTCCCACATTTCCCCTATGCTCTCAAATCCATCTTCCATTCGATTTTGAATGGAAATAAATCTGTCCTCCATAGTGGTGAACCTCTCTTTCATTCTCGATCTGATTTACCCTACCTCTCGTTCTAACACGTCCACTTTCTTTGCTGCCTCTCACTAAGATCTAGGCTCTGATACTAATTTGATATGCCTCAAAACCAAAATCAGCGAACAAACTACAACAAAATGACAATAGATAGGTGAAAGAAACACAAGGGCCGCTCTTGCAAAAATTAAAGGAAAATAAGAAAGATACAAAACTGATATGCTATTCGAGAGGTAGATCGTCGCTCCCATGCCCTAAATGTCGCTTGGAATCCCACAAGAAGAAAAAAAACAACCTCTAGAATAAAACATGCATAAAGAAGACAAACCCTAGGTTACTCCATTTAATAGAATCCTCCCACAATAATTCAAGACTTTCCTTCCAACATTCCCTCCAAATTCCTCTGGTTTCTCTACCTTGAGTATGTGATTAAGGCCCTCATGGACCCCTTTTGTTCCTAGTTTTCTTCAGTCGTGACAAATTGCTGCTTGTCGCTAGGCCTTTTCTTGCAACGTAGACCGGCCAGGCGGTCAGGTTAGGAGTCATCCTGGATCGGTCTTGTTATACCTGGATCTATTACGGCCATGGGCATAATAGAATCATTCACCTTTTTCTTTTTTTTTCTTTTTTTCACACTGTCAAATGACATGTAAAATTTTTGCTTTCCCAAGGTTACATTGAACTCGTAGGAGAGATTTAAGGGTTGGTAGTTCAATAGTTTAATTAAGATTGAATTGGATGATACACTAAATAGTAAATGTTAAAATAATTTTAATATAGTTTAAATGATATAATATGATGCAATTTTATCTATTCTATTCAAAGTTTAATTTTTAGTTCAAAAAAAAAATTGAAAAATGATATTGTAATTATTTTTTCATTTTTTAATCTAAAACTTTTATTTTTAGCCTTCCAGTTTAAAAAAATAAAAATAAAAAATGATCAATGTTAGAACTTGTCTGTTCATTAAAAAAATGGGACATATTCACCGTATAAACCGCTGATTTTGACTGGTTTTGACTAGTTTTGTGCCAAATTAGGTTTGGGCCTACAGTGAATTAACCAGGTTCCATTCACTGTTGAACTCGGCTGGATCATCCGGTTCGATCCAATTTAAAATTTCTTGAGATGTTGCCTCTTAGGGCTCAGATTTATGTTTTTTTTATTCGTGTAACTTTTTTCTCAGATCTGTAAGTATTTGTAATGGGATGTTTGAAACTTCTGCTCTTGCTTAAGCTGGTTGTTCAAACTTCGCAGCAGTTTAGAAAGAACCATAAATCTTTTCAAACCTTAAAATGGTATTCATATTGGTTATGTTCCATTTTGTTGCATTCTAGATATCTTAAATGTGGGGCATGGGCAGGGAAGCTGTTTTGCTTAGTTATGATAGTCAATTTCTTGCTATGGCAGCTACTTCAATTGTGGCAGGTAAGTTAATAACATATATTGCATTCTTCACATAAATTGTATTCATTTAATTTTGCAGGAATACTAATTTGCTTATATTTTATCAGCCTTCAAAGAGTATAGAAGAGGTGCCTGATATTGCCATACTCAAGAATAAAGACAAGGAGAAATGCTGCTAAGAATGCCTCGATTTGGCTAGTTTTTTGGTAGATAAATTACATTGGGGATTACTTGTCATTCTTTGTCATATTTGGATGTAAATAGAACTACTTTTTTGAAGGTATAAAACCACTTCCATTTTATTTTTAGGTATTTGTTAGTTTAGGAAATTGCATTTGATTATTCCTAGGAATAATCTGCTAAACTTCCTTTAAGAGTTAAACATACTGCTATTGCTATAATTATTAAAAGGTACGATGCTAAATCTCTTATGCTTACAGGCCAATTTCTCTTTGCAATTTTATTTTTAAAGCTATTGTTATTTTACTGTTAGACATGCCTAAATCTATTTTTCTTAGAGTTATTCATTTTCGCCAAGCCATTTTTATCGAAGGCTGGATATTGCTGACAATATTATCTTAGCTAATAAACTTTTTTCTGAGGTCAACTTTTGTACTTCTACTAAGAAATGTTGTGCTAAAATTAATTTAATGAAAACCTTTGATAAAGTACATAATATGTTTCTTTATGATCATATGTATCGTCTGAGTTTTCCTCTTATTTTAATTAATTGGATTTAAGTTTATACTGTTGATGTTAACATTTCTGAACTAATAAATAGTGAAATGAAATGTTTTTTTCCTTTGATTTGTGGCTTGCGACAATGTTGTCCTCTCTCCCCCTATCTCTTTGCTATTGTCATGGATGCTCTTTTTTCTTCACTTGATTATTATGATCATGATAATAACATTAATAATTGTCATAATAATTGTGAGATCATATCTCATTGTATTTATGCTGATGATATTCTTACCTTTGGTACAGTTGATAAATCATTCTATAACCCATTTTTCTATTTTGTGGACAATTTGGCTCAACAGCAGCTTTGTAATATTAGTAGTTTTAATATTAAATTGTTACCTTAGGATTATCTGCATTTTTAATTCTGTTGACAATTTGGCGCAACAGCAGCTTTGTAATATTGGTAGTTATAATATTAAATTGTTACCTTAGGACTATCTTGGATCATCTTATCTTGGGGTCACTATTAAACCTTCTAAGTTGGTTGCTGGTATTTGCCAAAAACTTTTTGACAAACTTTTTCTCACTTGCTTGCTGGAAACAAAAGTTTTTATTTCTGCTAGTAAACATCAATTAGTAAAATTTACTATTTAGAGTTTTTTATATTATTTGTTTCATTCTTCTACTTTACCAAAGGGATTAAAAAGCAAAATTTTCTCCATGATTAATAATTCTCTTAATCATAATGATAATATTAAATAGTTGCATATCATTGGTTAGAATAAATCACTCTTCCTAAGCACATTGGTGGCCTTGGTTTATCTTCGCTTGATGGTATTAATATCATATGTAAGTCAAAAATCATTTGGAATATTTATAATTCTAATTCTTATTTAACTAATTGGTGTCTTAACTATCTTGGTTCTTTTTGGTGTAAAGTTTGTCATTCTGCTATTTTTTAGAATGGCATTGTTAAAGTAGCTTTGAAAATTAAACATTCTCTTACTTTTCAGGTGAATATTAATAGTAGTATCTATTTTGTATTATGACTATTGGTTTTATGAGTCTTCTTTATATAATCACTTTGGTGGATTCTGTTTTTATATGGTTTAATTCATCTAAGAAGACTAAGCTTTGTGAACTTATCTTTAATAATGTTTGGACTTCATCTTGGAACATATCTGCTCCTATTCATTGTATTCAAGCTATTTATAATATTATTTTTATAAATGACATTAGTTGCCTTTGGAATAATAATAAAAAATTATTCTCATAAATCTGTTTACTTCTTATATGAGAATCCACCTTGTGCTGACTAGTCTAATATGGTTTGGTTTAAGAATTATTCTATTAAATTTGTTGTTCATGTTTGGAGATTGTTCATACTGGGCTTATTCTCAATATTAGAGGTATTACTATTAAATCTACTCATATTTTTATGTTTTTCGGAGTTTGAAAAGCCTAATCATTTATTCTTTGAATGCCCTTTTTTCTCATTATATTCTTAATAAATGCATTTCCAATGGTTATTTCTTCATCAGTCCTAGTAATATTTTTCAGTTGCTTTATCACTATGATAATATATTATGTTTCATCGTGTATACACTGTTTTTGGATGGAAACTTCATGATTTTCTTGCAGTTTCATGTGGTTCTTTACCTATGGTGGTTGTAGATGTTTGCTACGGGTCTTGCTACGGATGGAAACTTCATGATTTTCTTGCAGTTTCATTATGGCTGTTTCACCTTTAGAATATTTTTTGATCTGGATTAGTTTCAGTTTTGAAAATTAACTTGGATTCTTTTCTTGGACCAATTCCTGGATTGAGGTTGTTGATGTTTTGTTTGCGTGACTTTTTAAAGCTCCCCATTTTTGGACTAAGACCTTGTTTGTGGGAGCTTCTTCTTTCAAAATAACTTCTTTAAATGTAATGTTAGAATAAACAACTTTATAAAGTGGTGGTTACTAAAGTCAATACTATCGTTTGAATACAAAAAAATTGTTTACTTTTTAACATCCAAAAATTCATTACAAGACTAAAATATCTTTAATATTTTAATTTTTAACTTGCGAGTTTGTTTTTCCGCGGACAGAGGAGAGGCAAAGTATGGCCTTACGGAGGAGGAAAAAGCTGAGAAGCTGCGCGAACTTGGCCTGCCGAAATAGGAAAAATTGTTGTTGCGGCGAAAATAAATTCCTTAAAAGTTCAATATCCAAACGACACATTTGCATTTTATGAACTTTTCATCGCAGCAACTGCTCTTCAAACGGAGCCTAAAAAGGGCAGATCCTTCATTCATTTCCTCTTAACCACGTTTTCGGACCTTGAAATCAAGCACTCCATGCTAATGGATCAATTTTTTAAGGAATGTTCACTTACATGCTGCTGTTCTTTTTTTCCCCCACACTTTTTTATGATTGTTTCTTGTCCTTTTGGTCTTCAAATTTTCATAGATTTGTATTGGTCTTTTCTTGTTATGTATGTGTATTGATGTTCCTTTGCCTAAACTGTCTCATTGCGTTTTTATTCTTGATATTAGTGTATAAGAGCAGATATTCACTTTATTTTATTTTGAGTATTGGTATATTTGGTTGAGCTATGATGATTACATTAAAATTCAGCCATTTTTTTACTATTTTGAATCTTTGATTTCAGATCTTTGAATATTTTGGATTGGACCTTTCTAAAGGCCAAGCTTTGCCAAACGAAGCGTAAGGCCTAATCTTGAAGCTGCTGCTCGAAATATTGTTCTGTGCTTCTCTTTTGCTGTTGGATGTTGAAGCATGCTATTTTATTGGGTGCTGTAGGCTTTTCTCTCTAGGGATTGTTGGATGATTTTTCTCTTCCTCCATGGCGATTTGTTGTGTTTCTGTAGATTCTTTCTTCAAGCAGTTTTTATATTTTATTTTGTTACCTGTAGGTGTTTTGTGATGTCTAGTTTGTTCCTTCAGTGGTCGTTTTGTGTGACGTTGCATCTTCTCTTGGGTTGCACTTGTATTCCATTTCTTTCCAATAAAGAATTCAATTTTCATGGCAGAAAATTGGAGGAAACTTAGTTTAATTTCTTTAAGATTTCTTAATTAATTAAGCACTTAAAAAAAGATCACAGCTTAAAAGAATTGAAAAATCATATTACATTGTGCACCTTTTTCATGCATACTTTAGTAGATCACTGTTTTAAATGTAAATATCAAAATTAAGGCATCAGATGTAGAAATACATAGGAAGTAGGAGTTTTTAAGATCCTTCCCTGAAAACACCAAATAGGTTGATGACCCCATCCCACAAATTTATATTGAAATGCATAGGACCCGGCCCAAACCATATGTTTTCCACTCTCTAAATTATATTGAATATTATATTTTAACTACATAAATTTTAAATATAACTTTTTAACTGCATTAAAGGGTAGTCTGGTAGCACAATTCTAACAGTATTTAGTCTTGGATTTAACCCAAAGTTTGCCAAAAGTAAAGAAAATGAAATTCAAACTCTGTTAATCCAAATTTGTCTCCATTCGTCTTTCGTAGAGCCGTTTGTTTTGTAAATCCCGTTCGATTTGTAAATTTGGATTTACTAAATCTAACATATATTAGATTTATGTTGTCCTTACGACCTTTGCTAACATCATGAACTCGACGAAAATTTGAATTTGTTAAATGATAGCATAAGCCAAATACCATGTTAAAAGTCATTTTCTTTTATTCACTAGTGAAGAATTCAATTGAAAGTTTTGAATGATTAAAATATTATATTTAAAATTGATATAATTACTATGTAACAAGTTATGTTAAACATTATACGAGCTTCTATTCTTCCTTTCCCTCACTCTGAAAACCTTCTCACCCATAACACCTGAATGGTGAATATGAGACACTTCAGACCCATTGCTGTGAAATTCCGCTTGTCCCCCACCTACGCCACTACCCTCCATGATTCTCCTCCTTCACCGGTGAGCCTCCACCAAACCATCCGCTTCATCACCAAAGTCCGCCTCAAATGGGTGAAGAACCGCGGCCTTGACCACATTATCGACCGCGACACCGACATCAAAGCCGCCGCTCTCCTCATCGACCTTATTGGCCGTTCGCCATCTTCCTCACCCCTCCCTGTTCGTTCCCTCTCCCATCTCCAAAAAACACTAGGCCTCACCATACCCCTTCTCCGCTTCCTCCGTCGCTACCCCACCCTCTTCCTCGAATCCCCTCACCCGCGATACCCCTCCCTTCCCTCATTCTCCCTCGCCCCAGCTTCCGTCCTTCTTCGTCGCCGCGAACTCGATCTTTGCTCTGCTGACGCCGCTGCTGCGGCTTCCCGCCTTGCGCGCCTCCTCATGATGTCTCGTTCTCGTTCCCTTCCGCTCCGCGCTCTCGCTTCCCTCCGCTACGATCTCGGCCTCCCATCCACCTTCGCTACTTCACTTGTCCCTTCTCGCCCTGATCTCTTCCGAACTGTTTCGAGCGGCGGCCAGCACCGCCTCGCTCTCGTAGATTGGCCTTCCGATCTCGCTATCTCTGCCCTTCAGCTTCGCCACGCCGACTCCATTTCGAATCCTTCGTACCGGGATTTTAAACGCGGTGCGTTTTCCTCCGCCACGCCGCTCACCTTTGCCATGAGCTTTCCCCGTGGATATGGCGCGCAGAAGAAGGTCAAGGCCTGGATGGAGGAGTTTCACCGCCTTCCCTATTTTTCCCCTTATGACGACTGTTCTGGGATCGACCCAGAGAGCGAGTTGATGGAGAAGCGCACTGTAGGGGTTCTGCATGAGATTCTTAGCCTCATGATTCATAAGAAGACGAAGAGAAATTATATTAGGAGCCTGCGGGAGGAACTCGGGCTGCCTGAGAGGTTTACTAGGATTTTTACTAGGTATCCTGGTATTTTCTATTTGTCCATGAAGTGTAAGACGACAACTGTGATGTTAAGGGAAGGTTATCTGAGGGGGAAGCTTGTTGATCCCCATCCGATCACATTGTTGAGGGATAAGTTGTTTTATGTGATGAGGACTGGAATATTGTACAGGGGTAAGGGCATGTCAAAGCTAGTGTTGAATGAAGATGATTTAGACCGGTTAGGGGATGAAGGCGGCGGGGAAGAGAAGTTCGAGGGAGGGAGTCAGGGTTATGATGAGGATGAGGATGAAGAGGGTGAATGCTATGAAGTGGAGGATGATGAATCTGAATCTGAATCAGACTCAGATGAGGACTAAAATGAGCATTGGTTTTTCCTTATTTTACTTGATAGGAAGCTGGATGATTTGTCATGGGGGAGTTCTGTCCATGTGTGGTATTTTCTGCAGCATTCATGGTCAGTGCATGTAGTGCAGGCGAGCAGCAAGAAAGTATAATTCCTGAACTTTCTCCTGTCATATTTATTAGCTTGTTTTTCTGTGCTCTCTTTTTCCTTCAGGATCCATTCGTTGTCTGCAGTATGTTTCCTAGATTTCACAGTTTGATCTATTCATTCTCAGCATTTCTGGCTGTTGAATTGGTCCTAAAAATCTTGCTCAATTTTAAAATGCATCTATATAAAATTAAACTTTTGGTTTCCTTTTTGTATTATTTTGGTTTCTTACTATAATGTTTCTATAGTTGTCCAAAAATGACGATAAAAATACAATCTATTATGAATGAAGATTCCTCAAGAATTAAACTAATATGGTATCCTTATGGCAATTGAAATACATTCATGAACATTCCCATATTTTTTCAAAATATGTGTGCATATATTCTATGAATTCTCATGCATGTGAGAAATAAGATTTTGGGTGGATAAAAAGTTATTTTTAATGTTTATGTGATTAAAATGTTTCATTAAATGTTTTGGGTGGTTGGTATTTAAATGTCTTTTTTTTTTTAGAATAAGGGCATCCTAGAAATTGTGTTAATAAAGGCAGAGGTAGACCTAGGAAGGCTTGGGCTTATTGTTTAACATCGACCATCTGATGATCCGATTAGTAGAGTTGATGTTTTAGATTCGACTTGTGTTAAGAAAGGCAGGGTAGACCTTTGAAGACTTGTAGACCTAGGAAGGACTTGGGCTTATTGTATTAAAAATGATCTTAATTTATTAGAACTAAATGAAAATATGACACTAAATAGGACGCAATGGAGAAGAAGGATTCATGTAGCCGACACCACATAGTGGGATTAAGGTTTTGTTGTTGTTGTAAGGGCATCCTAGAAATTAGCTGTTAAACCCTTCTGAAAATTCATACTTAATGCTCATGCAAGTTCGATGAGAGTTAAGAATTTGGGAATGTCCATGCTTTTGAAAATTAGTTGTTAAACCCTTTTGAAACTCTTGATTGAAGGATTACAAGCCAACATGCTTTCCATTAGGTGCAAATTATAATGTGACATTTATTTAATTTGATTCTTTAACTTCACCCTCTGAAGTTCCAATTCCCATTCCCATCATACGGTTATTATTGTAATTTTTAAATTATGGCACTGCATCTTTTTCGGCTCACATGTATGCCTTATTTTAAGGGGCTGTAAAATTTGCTATGTTAGTGACTGACCTGATAACAAAAATGCAACATTATATTTCATTAATCTTCTCCTTCATGTTTTGTTAACATTAACAGAACTCTTTATGCACCATTGTTTTCTGGAGTGGTTCGTCTGAACATCATCTTGCCATATGAAATGTTTGTTGACTTTTTTATTTTTCTTTATATCCTGTTTGTTTTGCGTGCATGCATTTTTTGCATACTAGGTTATTATGTACGTCAATTTCTTGTTTTCATGTTCATCCAGCACATGGGCTCAACTTAACATTCTCTCTTTAACACGCTTGAAATGTCATTAGAAACCCATGTATGAAAGATTCTATGCAATGGACATTGTTATTGTCTTCTCCTGTAATCCAGGCCATCCACCATGATAATTTAATCCATCCAAATTTTTATTAATTGGCTAGAAGTTTAGAATTTTGTATTGGAAATTAATTTAATTCTGTTTCTGGGAAAAAAAAAAGAAAGTTTCTTCTCCTAACACTGATAATTGTAGTTAAGCCACTTCCAATGTTATAAGTCTTACTCCTAATGTAGTTCATGATTGTTCAGGGGGTCAAGTTTACTTTTGGTTGGCCGAGTTGATTTGAGTGAGGATAGAAAAATTTCTTTAAAATGTTTTCTTTTGGTCAGTCATTTGAGATGACTGCAGGTTAATGTTGTTGAGATATAATGTGATGCTGTTTTTTAAATTATAATTGGGTCTAGATAGTTTGATTATACAAGATTATGCTAGTAATTGTAAAATTATTGAAGCTGATTGCATGGATTTGTTTTGTTTTTAGAAGAGTAAATGTTGATTTTTAAGATGTAGATGAAAAACATTTTCATGGAGAAATTTTGCTTGGTAAGATTTTGAGTTCTTCTTTTTATTTATTTATTTATTGTTGAAGATGATTATTGTTAGATTATAGTGTTGTTGTTTTTGTTTTTTTTTTTTTTGCTTTGGATTCTGGAGGTCAGACGTAGACGAAGAACAAGTTAACATGGATATATGAAAATTTACTCTAACTACGTTATTTATTTGATTGCTTTTATGAAGTGTGTATTGCATAAATTCATAAATCCTCAAGTATTATGAGTTTTGAGGGGCAATTACGTACAGCCCACCTGAAACTTGTTATTTACAAATCAACCACCCTCTTTCATCCATTTTTCAAATTCTCACTTAAATATCAAGTTCATGGTAAAACCCATCCCATATTTTTAATTTTTACGAAAGTCTCAATAGTTTGACTATGGCATGTGGAAATACATTGGCTCAGTAGTTCAAAAAAATAATCTGGGTAGTTAATTTGTAAATATCAATGTTTAGGGTGGTCTGTATGTATTTATCCCTATTTATAAACATATGACTTCTAGCATGCTTATATTTTGACACAGTAGTGTATAATTTGGGTTATTTTCTAAGGTAATTTACAATTGTAATTGTAGATGAAGTAGCTAATAAGTTTATTTTGCATAAATAAATGCTAAGTTTTTTAATATTCAATTTCTAAAAATTAAATTCATAAATTGAATTTAATATTAACAATTTGAAATTTTTATGCCATTTTTTTTTTGTTAAAGTCAAGACCAATAAACACGAATCTCAAAAAACATCATTTTTAAATTGTTTGCATACAATGATGGGTATTTATAGATAAGAGCTTAATCTATACAATTGTAAGAAGTGTAGCAATTGCAATAATTTCAATTAAAATAAAATGTCATGTGTGTTTTATATGAATTTGCTGGTCCCCAACCATGCGGATCAATTGTTTTCTGCCAACTTTCCATTCTCTATATTGTTGGAATTGTTGGACTCCTCTTCACTCATTTCCTACGGCTTTCTTTCTGTGATGAATCCATGGGACTGCTAAATCAGTGGACATGCCTTTTGTGTCTTGAATTAGTTGTTTGAGACCTGCCATTCGTAGTTTGTTCATTATATTATTGAATGCATAATTGCAAATTTCTTCTATGACTATATCAACGAATTTGCCAACTGTTAGGAGTGTAAATCAATTCGCACACTCTGTTTTTAAATATTTGATTTAGTTTTATGTTGTTTGGTGGATTATGGGCAAAGCCCTCATATTCTCTAGTATATTATTTAGCTACTGAAGTTTACAAATTTCTTGAGCTATTGGTAAATTTAGATTATGTATTTGAGCTGCAAACCACTTATTATTTTATGCTTCTCGATGTTGGTAGATTTCTTTCAAGTAGTGATAATCTGAAGTTGATTTCTATTGGTGATCCCAAATATTTTTCTTGTTGGAAGGTAGAAGAGGGAGAGATGGATGTCAGACCCACGAGGAGGTCTCAGAGATTGTATATTAAGCTCGGGCCTTCGGTAAGCCCGAAAATATGGCTCATTTGATGTTTTTTGAGCTATAGGATTATATATATATATATATATATATATATATATATATAGCTAGAGAGAGAGATCCTCAAAAGCAAAGGAAGTCTTGGGATCCATTCTATCTTAGCTTGGCTTTCCTTTTATACAATAAGGAAAAATAATAAGAAATATATTTAGTAATGTACGACTCTCATCTATGTTTTCTTGAAATAAGACCGTGGCGGGGATGCAGACATCACTTTTAAAGATGGATGGATTTGTGTTCTTGCTGGTAATGATGACCATTTCCAGTAATTGCCTCTCTCTAGGTGGTTTAGACTTCCATCTGTGAGTGGAAGAGATGAATTCAGCATACCGACTTTCTTTTAAGAATACGTGTAAAGACCCTTTACAGCCGTATTTCCATACACTTGTAATTTCTGGGTTTCATTTCTCTTGTAGCGACTTTCAAGGATTTAATTTTGTATAATATATGTTATAATGTTTTAGTTTATGCATGAATTGACTCGTGAGCCTTATCACAAATATAATATTTGGCTTGAGTACGTAATCTATAGATTAAATTTTCAGCCAGTCTCTGATTCTTTCTTTTGCCAATTTTAGTTTCTGGCTTGGTTAATATTATGGTATGACTCATATAATATAGGGACGGATGTCAGAATGAAGCAGAGCGGAAGAATCTGTCCAAATCGGGAAGTTACGTTATGTTGGTTGGGGGTGTTGGGCAACGCCCCGCGGTACGGTATATGAGTAATATTGTAATATTATACTTAGGATTTACTTCTAGGGTTATAAATATACATGTTAGTAACCCCAGGAGGTATCCCTGATTTCTGTAATCTCTTTTTTGAATATTGTAAGGAACTCGTCGCTCTGCTTCCGAGAACGTAGATATCTTTGCTGAACATCGTTAAATATTTGTGTGTTCTTCTGGATTTGTGTTGATTCCAAATTTTCTTCGCCTTAAATTTTCAACAAGTGGTATCAGAGCGAGGTTCGAGGGCAGAGAAGAAAAATTTGGGCGGTGCAGGAATAAAGAAGATTTAGCAGAGGAGTTTGACGACAGTTCGAATTTCGGCCAGTGGAAGTTCGAAGACGAAACCCGGCTTTGGTTCGGAATCACAGGAAAATCGAACAGCAAGGCTTCAACGACAGATCGCGAGAGGAGTTCGCGACCAGACGAAACATTATTGATGATTTCTCCAAGAATATTTGGGTATTTTTCTTGAAACAGAAATATGAAGTTTTCTCTAAATTTTAGTTATGGAAAACTGATGTGGAGAACCAAACTGACAGAAAGATCAAATATTTGAAGTCCGATAATGACACAAAGTACACAGATTCACAGTTTTAGATTTTCTGTAAGGAACATGAGATTCAGAGACATTTTTCAGTGCGCACGACACCACAACAGAATAGTTTGACAAAAAAGATGAACATGTCCTTAACTAAGAGGGAAAGTTGTTTGAGACTGAATGCAAAGCTTCATAAGAGTATTTGGGCAGAGACTGTGAATATGACATGTTATCTCATCAATAGATCACCTCGAGTATCGTTGGGTGGCAATTTCGCAGAAGAGGTATGGACAACTAATCCAGTAAATTTCGATTATTTACGGATTCTTGGTTGTCGTGCTTC